TCTTGGGAAAGAATTTATGAAGAAGACCCAAAGGCAATTGCAGCAACAACAAAAATAAATAATTAGGACCTGATCAAGTTAAAAGGTTACTGCACAGCTAAGGACACAATCAACAAGGTAAAGAGACAACCTGCAGGATGGGAGCAGATACTTGCATGCTATGAATCTGACAAAGGGCTAATAACCAGAATCTATAAAGGACTCAGGCAAATCAACAAAAAAGAGCAAACAACCGCATTAAAATCTGAGCAAGAAACATCAACAGAATCTTTTCATATGAGGACAAAAGGCCAACAAAGTCATTTAAAAATGCTCCTTGTCTCTAATTATCTGAGAAATGCAAATCAAAACCACTTTGAGGTATCACCTAATCCCAGTGAGAAGGGCCCACATCACGAGATGCTGCTTTTACAGAGATCTGGAGTAAACAGCAGAACAGGCTCCAGCTGCATCTCTAGGGCAGTCACATTTTGCAATATTCCTGCCTCCAAAAAAGGCGGGGAGCCAGCCTTGGACTCTGACACCTGGCCCAGCTTCAGTTGTTATCTACCTGCCTCTGAGAAGAAAGGAAGGCGTGATAGAGCAGTTTCACAGCACCCTCTTAATTTGGCTACAATCACTACGGTTTCCTTTGTCCCCCTTGACATCCCCTCACCACTTGGCCCCAGTGCTGGCATTTCTCCTCTCTGTCTTTGAGGTACAACACGGTCTCCCTGCTCTCTTTTCTCTCTCTTTCCCCACTCTCTCACTCCCTTTCTCCTTCTAAGAAGAGAAAATAAATGTTATACTTCTATATCCTAATCTTTGCCCGGAGAAATCTTTTTCTCAAACCCATGTGCACTAGCTCACACCCTAACATCTTGGAGTCTGAAATTTTAAATTTGTACTTCTTGGAGGTTTGATGGGAATGTGATTTTGGATGGGAATGGGGCTATGAGTTTTATTTAGTGTAGATTGGGTGAAGGAAACTATTTCTTTTTTCACAGCTAAGAACACTAACCTAGTCATAGAGCCAAAAAAGCAATCCCCGCCCCCCCCATAAGACAGAAAGCTAAAATGGAGATAAAGGTACAGCAAGTGGAACGTCAGCTTCTCCTTTTCCTTCCTCCCCTCCTTCCTCCCCTCCTTCCTCCCCTCCTTCCTCCCCTCCTTCAGTAAACGTTATTAATCCCTGCACGCAAGTCACGGGCTGGCTGCTGGGAAGGCACAGTGATGGGGCAGAGGCCTTCCCCAGTGAGTCCCCCAGTACAAACATCATGACATCTCTGGTCAGTGCTGTTGGGGAAGAGTACAGAGGACCCTAGGGGGGCTGTACAATTTGGGGGCTGCCTTGAGGAGCCCACACTTGAGCCCCTTGCTGTCAGGAGAGCAGAAGTTAATAGACAGAGGGGAAGCCGGGCTGGAGCCCGGGCCCCACGCAGGATCACTGTGGAGGACCATGATGTGAGCCCAGCCACGCCCCACACGGGACCAGTGGAGGACTGTGGTGTGAGCCCGGGTGGAGGACTGTGGTGTGAGCCTGGGTGGAGGACCGTGGTGTGAGCCCGGGTGGAGGACTGTGGTGTGAGCCCGGGTGGAGGACTGTGGTGTGAGCCCAGCTCAGCCATGGGCAGATCTCCCAGGTCTTGTGGACCAGGTGCAGGGTTTTGTCTTCCTTACTAGTAGCAACCAGATTCTGTTTGGAAATGGTCACTGTGGTGCTGGCCTAGAGGTTGGGTTACATAGGGAGGGTGGGGGTCCTCTAAGACATCCTGGCACAGTTGAAGTAAGAGATGACAGCAGCTTGCAGCTGGCCGTGGCAGTGCATAGAGAGAGAATGGATGTAGTTGGGACCTACCTAGCAAGTACCAGGGGCAGAACCTGGTGACAGGTCAGGGAAGCAAGGTGGGCCAGAGGACAGAGTCAAATTGGACCATCAGGTGTCTGCCTCGTGTCACCCAGAAGGGTGTGCATTCAGCACAGTGGGCGCTCTGGGGAAAGCTGGTCTGGGGGCTTTATCTCTCCAAGTGGAGGAGTTCAGTGGGCGTTTGCATGGGCCATGGGCAAATCTGGAGCTGGGGGGAGAGGTCTGAGCTGAGAGGTAAACTTGAGAGGACACAGACTTCCAGAAGAAAAAGGAGTAAGACAGAGGCGCATTCTCTCCCCAGGGATGCAAAGCCAAGAAGCACACAAATAAGAAGGGACAGATCCAATCACACGAGATGCGCTTGCAGGGACAGCGCGACAAGACAAACAGAGGCAGACTTTCATGAAGAAACTGCTGGGGGGGTCGCGTTCTGGGTATGAAAGGACTTTTAAAGCTGAGTTGTGGTTTGAGGATTCCGCGCAGAAACAAGGCAAGCACTTGGCCACAGGTCACCCTCATCCGTCGCCTTAGGTCCACCTGCAGGCACAACCTCACCTTTGTGTTGTGAGCAGCCCCTGCAGTGCACGCCACACTGCCGGTGGACTGGACAATCTGGCATGGGGTGCCCGTGGGCTCTGGGGCCCCAGAAACTCTGATGCTGAGACTTTCTTGTCCCTGTTTTGGGATCCTTTCTCCAAAAATTCCTATTAGACATGTAGTCGCATTTTTTCATCAGAAAAAGAGTGGTTCAAATAAATACACAGAATAAAAAAAGACATCTAACATTTAAACATTTACTTTCAATACGTTATTTTAAATTATTAAAGTCCTCCAACAAAGCACTTTTTAAAAGTGCACATCTATGTGACTCCTGGGCTTATTAACACATGAAAGTGTCTGACTATGGCCCAGCAAGTCCTACTGGGCTGCCCAGGAGGGGGTCTGCTCCCTATGGAAGTTGCACAGCTCCTACTTCACGTATAAACTGGCACTCTGATCACTGGCTCCATGGGCTGTTGTGAGCCCCCCGGGTGACTGACAGGGCCCTGCTGTGTGGCCTACTGAGGCAGAAGGCGGCTCCTTAGAACGTCCCTGGGGCTGTGCAGTTTGGCTGCTCCCAGTCCAGGTCTGGCTTCCTGACTCAGCTCTTGCTCAGGTCTGCCCAGCTCCACCTGTGCATCCCAGTATCGAAGGGGGTGGGGCCGCTGCTCGGGCCCCTGTGATGTCAGCAGAGGACTTGCTGGGAAAGTCTGCAGCCCCCTCTATGATGACCCTGATGATTCGCTCACTCTACAAAGTTACAGGCAAAACTTCCAAAATGCATGTTCTCTACGCAAAATGCGTAGTTCCCATTGTCCTCAAGGAACTGCTGACACTGAGCTGGGCCTAGGACAGCAGGTGCTGGTCTGGCCTGGAGCCTCCTCTGGGATCCCACTGTGTGTTCCCCGGGACATCTGGAGGCTCTTCCTGCCACCCACGGTGCCTCCTGCATTTGCCAAGTGCAGCCGGGGCCCTGCCTCTTCCTCGGGGCCATCTCCCTGATCAGTGCCTGTTCACTTCCTCTGTTCTTGGTTCTGTGGCCCCAGGAGAGGGAAAAAGACACTAGCTGCTTAGAGCAGAATGGAAAACGAACTCCTCCGCCATTCACCACAACTTTGTAAACTGTAAAGAGCTGGGCAAAAGAGAGGGGCGATCGTGTTGGTGACGGGGAAACCTTCTGGGTTAAGGAAGTATTCTGGAGGCTGCAGGGCTCTCTTCAGGTCTGGCCAGTACCCTCTGCCAATCTTAGGGTAACCCCCATCGTCCACAGGAGCCCCCTGCCCACTGTGGGCTGCCCTCACACTGCCCAAGGCCTTAGTCTCAGTACCGTGTTGTCACACCCATGTCACTGCCTCTCTTTCCCTCAGGGTTTGCACAGCTTGGCATGGGCCATGCTTAGCGCTGGCTCTTCCAGGCTGACCACATCGTTTCTGGGTCCTCATGGTATTTTAGTGCGTGCTGGCTGTGAGCACAGCCCGAGGCTGCCCCCTGCCCACAGTGCTGCAGTGAATCTGTGCACATGCACTAGTGACTCACTGTCCTGCAGCAAAGCATCAGTGTGATCAAAGATGGAAAAACTGCCCTCACTGGTGAAGAACAAACTCATAAATCAGTTAGTAGTGAGCAACGGTTCTTCAGGCACAAACCAACTGGTAGAAAACCAGTCACTTTTACCATATGATAAACGGCCATGACTATAAAACACTGTTGTGAGTTTAACTCATCAGAGCCAAGAACACGCTCTGTGATACCGTCTTCTTTCTGCCAGCTGTTGCCGGGAAGGCACACCATACAAACCACCATGAAACCCAAGTGGAGCCTGGGTTATTGCTCCACAAGCAGCAAGTTGTTACTGTTGCTTCGAATTAAGATATCGTAAGTGTTCTCTTTCCTGAGAGGGTTTTAATTTCTTCACACTGCGGATTTTTTTTTTCCCAATATTTCTTAGCGACATGCAAAGGGCTTGAGACAGGAACAATGGGAGGGAACGGAGGCCCAACAATGTTAAACAGCCATTAATGTGGGTTCTGTTGACCCCAAACAGAGAGAGCTGGAGGGGCTGTGGCACAGACCTCAGAGGTCATCCCCCTGCCCCCCGCCGGCCCTGTGCCCTAATGAAAGGGTTAGACAGGTGCTCCCAGACAACCCTCAAGAGCACCTCTGACCACTGGGCTCAGCAGGTCACACCCGAGTGTGGCCCAGGGCCGCCTCCCCAGCCTTGGGAACCCCCCATCCCTGTGCTGCCCACCTGTGTTTGGGTCATGACAGAAAAAGAGGAAGAAAGGGAGGATGGAAGAAGGAGACCAGGGTAGCTTCTTTCCTTTTCTAAAAAAAGTGCTTTAAAAATGGGCTTCTTGAAAGAAATGTCATTATTACATGTTACTTGAAAAAAAAAAACGAGTACAAACTCTCGGGTGGGGTGGAGAGATGATGTTACCTGTCGTCTTAAGGGGCCTGTTTCCCAGCAGCTTAAAAGTCTGGACAGGCTTAACCCGGAGGTCTTCACTTCATGTGCCAGGAGCCCCGTCAGCACTCTGGCGAAACCCAGGGACTCCCTTCTAGAATGATTTTAAATACATAAAACACAGAAGAAAGCCATAATAAAGACGCGGTGGTGCTCACTTCAGCAGCACGTGCGCTAAACTTGGAGGGACACAGAGGAGATTGGTGTGGCCCCTGGCAAGGACCACACGAAAATTCGTAGAGTGTTACATATTTCAGGAAAACACAAAAGAAATATTGTTTTCAAAATAAGTTTGACACGATGCAGTAGAACACAAGCTCAGCGATGGAGATGCTAACGAGATCTACGGTTTACCAGCTGCCTAAACGTCAAAGTAGTAACAAGTGTAAGTGTTGTTCCCAGACACCAGGGCAGTAACTGGGAAGTCCTGAGAAGACACCTCTAGCTTCCCGTGGGGACAAACGCCGCTAGTGTGCTCTGCGGCCTATACTCATGACTAAACGCATCCTTCATTTCACTTAGACGTGCGTGGAAATAAAGATCTAAGTGTTTCCCCTCTGAGTTCATACATACCCTGAATTCCACTCATGGCAACTGTGTCGGGCTGTGCCCTGAGTAGGGGGAGAGGAGCTGCACCCCTGCTTCAGGGCCACAGTCCTCACAGCCATAGTCCACTGGGGCCACAGTCCTCACACCCATAGTCCACCGGGGCCACAGTCCTCACAGCCACAGTCCACCGGGGCCACAGTCCTCACAGCCACAGTCCACCGGGGCCACAGTCCTCACACCCATAGTCCACCAGGGCCACAGTCTTCAACCACAGTCCTCAAAGCTCTAGTCTACTGGGGCCA